GAAATGTCATCTAGGATTTTGATGCAATCCCTAGATGGTAAGAGACCAAAAGTTGTCAATATACAGTACCAGAAAATCATACTGTAAGTGCACAGTGTGAAACAGCAGTGCCTCTCAGCCTCTCCTGTTTCTAAGAATGTAAAGCAGACAGTGTTGTTAATAGAAGCACAAATATTTATTCTCAGAAAAAAAACTAGTTGCCCAGTCATTTTTGTCCAAAGGAAACACCTGCCTTGTACATGCACATCCTGTTTTAAAGGTCACATTTTGCATTAATGTGTATATTGCGCAATTAGCTGTAATACATGATTGTTTTGTAACCTTTATATTCACTGTGTGAATCATTCATTACTGTATAATTATAAGTATGTATGTCTTTTGGAGCGATTTGAGTTTATAGAAATGTTTTTTATGAAATTATATTCCAGTAAGATATCAATAAATTAACTTTTGACTTTTAAAAAATTTAATAGCTGCCAAGTTGATGACACAAGGTTTGAAACCACAAGGTTTGTAACTTCCTAGCTGTTGTAATAATCTGAAAGGGGTATTGTAGATACTGGTAGTTAGTCACAGCAGATAGTTTGAATTCCAGTCTGTGATTCCGTAGTGCCTTTAAGAATATTTGTAGCACCGTTTTACCCACTTGTTCTTGTAAATGTTCAGCCCATCAGTTTGTTCTCTATTTGTATGTCTTAGAGCACTTTAGCCATGTGGATGCAGACCCACATGAGGTGGCATTATGGGTCTTACTGAAGAGGACACAGTCAGCCAATAAAGCCATCAGACTACAGGCTGTACAGGACCTTGCAAACAATCACCACTGGCGTGGTAAGATACACAAAGATTGTTGCATATCACTTCAGGTTTACCATTTACACAAGTTAAGTAAGGTGGGATTAGTTCACACCTGTTGTCAATAACGCAGACTACCAGTACCAGACAGCAGCCCAGATTATAGACCAGCGAACAGCAGTGGCCCTGGCCCGGACTCCTCAGGTAGACCTTCGGTTCTTTCTGCGCACTCCTGCACTGCCTGACCAGGAGGATGTAAGTATCTCATCTCTGTAGAATAGTCTATTATGTGGAATACCTCTATATCACTTGTAAACCACTCTCATTCACATGCTTTGTTTCTATACTAAACATGGGCTCTACATTTGTGTATTAAGAGTTCCCCTTCGAGGGAACTCGAACTGCGTCGGTGACGACACTATGGGAACGCCTCTGGGGGTGGCAGGGCTGAAACATGAATGAAACTACTCCAATCCTATTGGTGTTGCTAGAACGGTAGCGTGTGACGGCGTAACTGGAGGCTTATATAAGCACGCCGGCACACAGGACACATTAGCTCTTTTCTATTCAGCAGGCACTCTGGCATGTTTAGAAAGACCACGGGGTGGTCTGGACTGCAGTGCACTCAGGCGGAGCCAGGTGTTGGAACAAGACGTTTTCTCTCTACTGAACAAGGGGGCCATAGAACGCATACCCCAGCCAGTCAGGGAGTCCGGGTTCTACAGCCGGTACTTCATAGTTCCCAAGAAGGACGGAGGATCGCGTCCGATTTTAGATCTACAGCTCCTGAACAAATCTCTGAGGAGATTCAGATTTGAGATGCTCACCATCCCCGCCATCGTCAGTCAGATTCAATCCGAGGATTGGTTTGTCACGATAGATCTACAAGACGCATATTTCCACATCTCCATCCATCCCTCCACAGGAAGTTCCTGAGGTTCGCCTACGGGGGCGTGGCATACCAGTATCGGGTTCTCCCGGCCTAGCACTCTCTCCTTGCACGTTCACCAAATGTATGGATGCAGCTCTGGCCCCAATGAGGCTCCAGGGCATCCGCATACTGAACTACATCGACGACTGGCTTATTCTGGCCCAGTCTCGAGAGTTAGCGGTTCGGCATCGAGATGTCGTCCTCGCCCACCTTCGGCGTTTGGGGCTGCGGCTCAACACAAAGAAGAGCATGCTGACACCCCGTTCCTAGGGGTGGTGTGGAACTCGATGACGATGCGGGCCCACCTGTCGCCTGCATGCGTCGGGTCCATTGTGTCCTCAGTAACCAGGATAAAGCTAGGCCGCTCCATCACTGTGAAAAACTTTCAGAGAGTGTTGGGTCTCATGGCAGCAGCGTCCAGCGTAATCCCGTCTGGCCTGCTGCACATGAGAGCCCTGCAGTGGTGGTTAAAATCCAAGGGATTCTCCCCAAGGGGAAATCCATTCCGTCGGATACAGATTACGAGCAGGTGCCTTTGTTCTCTGTCAGTATGGAAGAAACCTTGGTTCCTGTCCCACAATTATTTCGACAGATGCCTCACTCACGGGATGGGGCGCGGTCACGGACGGCCGCTTCACGAGTGGCTCCTGGGAGGAGCATCATTTCTCTTGGCACATAAATTGCCTAGAAATGTTGGTGGTTTTCAGAGCTCTGAGGAGTTTTCTGCCCTCTCTCCGCGGTCGCCATGTCCTTGTCAGGACCAACAACACGGCAGTGGTGGCCTATTTGAATCACCAGGGGGGTCTGCACTCGCGCCCATTACACAAAACTGCCGCATCGGATCCTCCTGTGGTCCCAGCAGACTGCTGTCCCTCAGAGCAATGTACATCCCTGGGACACAGAATCAAAGAGCAGACCTGCTGTCGAGACAGGGGCTGAGGCCCGGGGAATGAGGGGGCCCAGTTCCTGGGAGGCGGGCCGCACGGCAGGAACAGTCGAGACGCTGCTCAGCTCCAGAGCAGGATGTACGGCCTAAAGTGAAATGTGTTTGCCACCTGGTGCAGAGAACGAGCGGTGTACCCAGTTACTATGGTACTGGAGTTCCTCCAGGACCGTTTCTCTGCTGGCCTTTCCCCATCCACACTCAAGGTATATGTGGCTGCCGTGGCGGCGTTCCACACCCCTCTGAGTGATGGGCCTCTGGGGAGGCTTCCACTGGTCGTGCGCTTCCTCCGTGGAGCTGGAGGATGAGACCCGTGACCCGGTCCAGGCTTCCCACCTGGGACCTGGCGGTGGTTCTCGAAGCGCTGGCTGAGGCCCCCTTCGAACCCCTGGAGTAGGCTGAGGCCAAGCACCTGACCCTTAAGATGGCCTTTCTCCTCGCTATCACCTCTCTGAGGAGGGTTGGGGATCTCCAGGCACTTTCGGTGTCTCCGCAATGCCTGGAGTTTGCCCCGGGGAGGGTCAGAGCCATCCTGCACCCCTTTCCGGGCTATGTCCCTAAAGTCCCTTCCAGGTTGGCAGGGTCCACGGTGCTGCAGGTGTTTCATCCCCCACCTCATGTGACGGCGGAGGACGGGAGACTTCATCTGCTCTGCCCGGTCAGAGCACTGAGTATTTACACTCTGAGGTCTTCCCGGTGGAGGAAAGCAGACCAGTTGCTGGTGTGTTTTGGGTCCCCCAAGGCTGGGCTCCCCGCTTCCAAACACACAATCAGCAACTGGATTGTTTAGACTATTTCCCTGGCCTATCAGGTGCACGGGTTACCTTCACCTATGGCCGTAAGGGTGCACTCTACTCGAGGCATGGCGGCTTCTAGGGCCCTCCTCGCAGGGTGTCGCTCCAGGATTTGTGTGACGCGGCTGGCTGGGCCACCCCTCACACCTTCATCCAGTTCTACAGTCTGGACCTTCCTTCGTGCGCTCTCCTCCTAGTCATGCCGTCAGGTGCTGCACACTGGGGGCAGGCGGGGTTTCGGCGCGGCCTAAGTGGGTAGTCTCGTTCCCATAGTGTCATCACCGACGCAGTTCGAGTTCCCTCGAAGGGGAACGTCTCGGGGTACATATGTAACCCTTGTTCCCCGAGAAGGGGAACGAGACACTGCGTCGGTCCATCACACCTCACCCCGCCTGGAGCGCCTTGCTTCATAGAAAAGGGCTAATGTGTCCTCTGTGCCGGCTTGCTTATACGCCTCCAGTTACGCCGTCACACGCTACCGTTCTAGCAACACCAATAGGATTGGAGTAGTTTCATTCATGTTTCAGCCCTGCCACGCCCAGAGGCGTTCCCGTAGTGTCGTCACCGACGCAGTGTCTCGTTCCCCTTCTCGGGGAACAAGGGTTACAGTTGTATATAAGATGATAACTTAGATGTGTTAACTTCTTCACAGGGTTTGTCAGCAGAGGATGGTCTCAGGCAGCTGCTGGGGTCTCTGCCTCAGTCTGAGGTGGACAAATGTGTTCAGTACTTCACCTCACTGGCCCTCAGAGAGAGCACCCAGTCCTTGGCAGCACAACGGGTAACTGAGACAGAAAGACGGATTCACACATGAACTTCTCTAAAATCCAAATCTTTAAATCCTCCTTTTTATACGTACACTCTCTTATGTTACAGGGTGGTCTGTGGTGTTTTGGTGGTAATGGGCTGCCTTACGCTCAGAGCCTCACCTCTGTTCCTTCTGAGAAGGTGGAATCCTTCTACCTACAGGCACTGGTACAGCACTCAAAGGTAATGATGGCCATCAAGCATCTAAATATGATCTGGAGTTATTAAAC